GCTTGAGAGAAAAATCCATACTGACCAGTGTTTGTTTTCCTCTTGATGTACTTGACAGTGGAGAAAAAAAGAACAATGTCTTTCTCTGTCAACCTTCATCACCAACTTCTTCCTATTTGCCTCTGTGAGATACCTTCCAATATATTCAGTGGGCTATAGGTGACCATCAGTCAAAGGCCACTAGAATGTAGTCTGTGGGCATGTATTCATTGAGAGATTCATACGTACTGTAGGGCAGCGTTCTGCCACCTTTTAGCACTCAGGGACCGGCGAAAAGAGGAGAAATATTTTGCGGACCGGTGTCAGCCAGAAAAAAAACCCCAATGGTATGTGAGATGGATGCAGTGAGTGTGTGTGTGGTGCTGTGTGTGTGAGGGGTGCAGTTTGTGTGTGTGTGTGTGTGTGTGTGTGTGAGGGGTGCAATTGGTGTGTGTGTGTGTGTGTATGTATGGGGGCAGTGTGTGTGAATATAGGGGCAGCGTGTGTGAATGGGGTGTGTGTGTGTGTGTGTATGGGGCAGTGTGTGTGTGTATGGGGACAGTGTCTGTGTGTATATGGGGGTAGTGTGTGTGTATAGGGGCAGTGCGGGTGTAAGGGGGGCAGTGTGTGTGTATGTAGGAAGTGTGTGTATGGGAGCAGTGTGTGTATAGGGGCAGTTTGTGTATGGGGCAGTGTGTGTATATGGGGGCAGTGTGTGTGTGTATGGGGGCAGTGTGTGTGTGGCTATGGGGCAGTGTGTGTGTATAGGGGGTAGTGTGTGTGTATGAGGGACAGTGTGTGTGTATGGGGGGGCAGTGTGTGTGTGTATGGTGGGCAGTGGGTGTGTATGGGGGGGCAGTGTGTGTGTATGTGATCAGTGTGTGTATGGGGGGCAGTGTGTGTGTATGGAGGGCAGTGTGTGTGTATGAGGGGGGCAGTGTGTGTGTGATCTCTGATCTCCCCTCCGGTTCTGCAGGGCCGGCAGGGGAGAGGGAGGCACATGTCTTGCCGCAATTTATTGCCGTTCAGCAAAAGCTTTCACCCGACGGTATAATTGGATGAAAGCTTTCGCGGACTGGCAATAAATTATTGCAGACCGGCGCAGGTCCACAGCCCGGGGGTTGGGACCCTGCTAGGGAATAGGACAGGTCAGAAATAGCAATATATTTGCATGTGGGAAATATGTTTTAAACACTTTAAATAGGAAGATTTCTCATTTGTTTGTGAATGTACTAAATTAGAACACACTTGCAGATCCCATAATAATATGATAGGATCTCCAATCTTCTGCACACAGTTTTATAACCTTTCCATGGACCATATTATACTTTTCCTGTAGAAAACCTTCCAGGCCTTACTAAATAATCACAAAGTGGTTAAGGATATTACGGGTTTGGAAGGTATAAGTCAACATAGGTGATAATTGGATCTTCTCCAAGTTTCCTTGTCAATTGCTTCTCCTCAGATTGTGTGTTTCACAGGTGCTATAAAACAAAAATATATTTATTTTGCTGATTTATATACGTAAAATGATACGTAAAATTGGAAAACATGGTCTGTATGTCAATGGTTTATGGTACATTAGCAATGGAACAATCTGGATATCTTCCATAATCTCTCTTTATCTGGACATTATCAAGGCTCTATCCTGCCCTTAATATGAGCAAATTACAACATGCATCTTCATTAAGCCGCTTTCCTAGTCAGCATACGCATAAACAAACCAAACACAATCAAAGGTGAGTTATTTTTATCATTATAATAAAACAAAAGCATTTGGAATATCTGTATTTGCAATCCAGTACCACAAATAGCAACACATGAGCCAATAAAAGAACACGACTTTGGAGTTATTAGCTGTCCAGTTTTATTGTGTCTGTCTTTCAAATATATCTATCTATAGCCAAGGATTTAGACAAAGTCATTGCTTCTACATGGATTCTGTCACTTTTATTTTTACTACTTAAATTGGTTTGATCTTACATTCACACTCCATGTGTTCATTGGTACTATTAGGATTCAGAGATTCAGAATATGTGAATTCTTGTGTTGGTGCACAGATAGCTAAGTTTTGTAAATTTTGTCGCACGAGAATAATTTATTTATTCACTCATACTTTGCAGTTTTTTGTTGGTACAGAGAGAACAAAGCCGCAAACTCACTCAGTAATTCCCATATACTTCAGAAATGTTTAACACAACTGAAAGGATTGAAAGGTAACCGGACTGCCTAAATTACCTGGGATGCAATATTATACATATAGTATTAACGTTAAAGATGGTCTGCCAAATAAAAATAATGCACATGATCTGAGCAGTAATAAGAGATTTATCTCCTAATGAAGGTCTGGCTCTTTACCTCTCCTTTAAAATGCACCACAAAACGTGTTATTTCTAAACTGGGCATTGTGAAGAATTGATAGAGAATTTAGGTCACAAATGTACATGTCAAGACAAAGTATCGGAATTGGAAATATTCTTAATGTCTACTTTCTCCAGATCACTTGACCGAAAAATCTTTGGTTTCCTGTTTTGTTCTTCTACAATTTTTGGTTTAATTAATATTCTTAAAAGTCATTGAATAGATATCTATTTCCAATTATTGAGTTATTCACTAGTTAGGTCGAACTTCCTGAAATAGAAAATGGTTAATGGTTTTAACCTAGCTAATCTAGCAAATTACAAACAGTTTCCACGTAAGCGAGTAACCCTGTTTGATATACAAAAGGTGGAATATTATCAATCACAAATTAAATGATAGAGATAGATAGACAGACATATAGACATACACACAGAGTATCACCTTTACTATGGCATTTATATGTCAATACATTTCCTCTATATTCTTAGTGACAAACCATTCCCCTTCTTATTTTTTTTTTCTGCCCAATACTACTGTAATTGGTATTCAGCACCCCATATGCCTAGTGTTCCATTTAACATCTGCTCCAAAGTAAAATAAATAAGATAACAGGAGCCCATAAAAGCTGGAGGGTTATAATTAATCTTTAAAGTCTATACAAAAACAATGAATTTATACTAGATACTGTATATATCATTTGCAATAGCCTTGTGAACAAAGTACTTGAATTTTCTCTGCCTTTTCTGGTTTAAGAGATACCTTTACTAGCCGAGTTTGGCACTCTGGTTTAAGAAATACCTTTTGTAGCAGAGTTCGGTACTTAGACTGGGTATCTCTGCTATTTCCACTCCTTCTAGTCACAGGATATCACAGTATTAGGAATAGCCCTTTCCCCATACAGTAGCCAAAACTTAGTGTGGGTTTAACAAGTACTAGTTTATTAACACAACACACAAATATTTATACTGCGTCGTATGTACATCAACTCTACAGGGGGTGATTAACAGAACAACGGAAAAAGTTCCCTCCCTGGCTCCTTAAGTTTGGGCTAATCACAGTTTATTTAATTCAGCCCAGGCTAATGATATTATTTGTTGGTTAATTAAGTTATGTATAGTTTATTTCTTTTCAGACAAGGGTGCCAGGTATTCAGAAACACAAATATTTGTCTTTTCTGTAACCACAACATTGTATATTCCCAGATAGCTCCCAGTTTCAGTCATGCACAGTTCAAATAGCACCTGGCTCAGAGGCATCTAGCTTGAGTAATAATACTTTAAAGTGTGATGGGTTCACAGTGATTCTCCGTTCTGGCTCTGAGTTTCACGTGTGTGGCTTGGTAGTACCAGTCTAGCGAGGATGGTTCCAGGAGCCTCTGGGCCTATACTTGCTTTTGACTACCAGCAGCCTTGCAGATTTGTGCTCTCTCTGTTCCATATCCTAGGGGAAATATAGTAAAACTAAGGTGGACATGCCAAATGATTGTCCCTAAGCCCTACACCCATTACCTACATGTAAATATCCGCTCTCTCTCTCTGATATATATCCTGTTTGGAAGGTTGTCTTATTTTTCCCTATTTCTCCTTATTTTTTTTTTTGAATTTGACAATTTTTATTTTACTTACAGTAAGGGTCGGGGGGAGGGTACAGAAATAGAAAGGGTTAGGTGGGGTACCAAAGACTTCACATACGTTATCACAGTTACAGTAGGTGGTCACCACGGGCACCGTGTAGGTTGTAGACAATATAATATATCGAGATTACACATGTGTAGTGCTACAGCCTCTGAACCTTAACATGTGGTCATAGGTCACATTTGTTTGTCTCGTGTGTGGCGTGGTTTAAAGGGTGCCTATCCGTGTTGATGGCACGGTTGGTCGTCTTCAGTTAAGAGAAAGGGGGGAGGGGGGAATGGTATAGGGTAGGGTGGTGGGTGAATGTCTAATGAAATGTGTGGTGTATGTAGGTTATGTTGCGGTGCAGGTGTGGGTGTACGGATGTGGGCTTGAATGTCTTCTTCAGTTCCTCTAGAAGAGGGGGGTTTTCCTCTTGATTCTGGTAGTTTGGTTTTGCATTTCAGTGTGGTTTGTTGCTGTCCCATATGTCCCAAGCCTCAGTCCAGTAGGATTTGGTATGTGTTGATTTCCTCGCTGCCATTTCATAGGTTTTGGAAGTTTCTATAGCTGTGATACACTGGCTGATCGTGGGGGCAGTGGTCTGTTTCCATTTTCTGCTTATGACGGTGAGGGCAGCTATGCAGATGTGATACAACAAGTACCTGGTATGGACGTGAGGTGTTTTGGGGAGGAGTAGCAGTAGGAATAGTTCAGGTATCAAAGTAATTTGCATTTGGGTGCAGCGGGTCGTTAGGTTTAGAACTTGTGACCAGAACTGTTTCAATAGTGGGCATTGCCACCATATGTGAAGCAGGGTGCCTCGGTCGCGTTGGCAGCGCCAGCACGCGTCTGACATATTCGGGTAGCTATGTTTTAGTCTCGTTGGTACAAGATACCACCTATACAGCAATTTACGAGAAAGTTCTGTGTGGGATGTGCAGAGGGTTAATTTATTGTTGGCGCGGTAGATATTTTGCCATTGTTCGTTTGTAAGTTCGTGCCCGATATCCTTTTCCCATGCTATCCTGAAGGAGGGTAATGTGCCTTGGGTATTTGTTTGTTCTGAGGCATAAAGTGTCGAAATAATTTTTGTTGCCGGTTTCGTCTTGGTGCATATCTCTGTCAGTTTGAGCCAGTTGGGGTCGGGTGGGAGTGCAGTTTGAAGCGGTTTGTGTAGGTTAATCCATGATTGTAGCTGGATGTAGGAAAAGGTCGCTGTCATTGGCATTTGAAATTCTTCACATAGATCTGCGAGTTTTTTGAGTTCGGTACCCTGCATTACTTGCGACAACGTGGAGATACCATGTCTGTGCCAAAGTTTGTGATTGAAGTTCGGGATAAGGTGCTGGATCGTTTCTATTGGGGTTGCTGGTGACATGGGTGATGTGTTCCCCTGTTTTTTGCGGTAGTCGTCCCATAAAGAGAGAGTAAGTATTGTTGTCGGTAGCATTTCTGATGCTTTGGGTCTGTGGTTCGGCGGCATCCATGCCATGGTGGGAAGTGATATGCCTTTGGCTCTATGTTTCTCCAGTTCGACCCATGTCATGGGAGTCGGGCGGTGAGACGCTGCAATAAGTGGGGCAATCTGCGCTGCTCTATAATATCCTTTGATATCTGGTAGACCCATCCCTCCTTGGGCTCGTGCAGAGACCATCGTGTTTAGGGCTACTCTTGGTTTTTTGTGGTCCCATATGTAATCATTTATCGTACTTTGTAAGTCTTTCAAGAACTTGTTGGGAAGCTTAAGTGGAAGCGTGCGAAACATATACTGAATTTTTGGTAAGATCACCATTTTTACAGAGGCTATTCGGCCCGTCCATGATATATATTTGCCCCTCCAGCTGTGTAGCAAGGTTCGAATTTCTGTGAGGAGTTTGACATAGTTGGCTTTGTATAGGGAGTTCGTGGATGGTGTGAAGAGGATGCCTAAGAATTTGATGTGGTCCCGCCTCCAGTCATAATTAAAGTTAGCTTTGAGAATTGGTAGTTCTTGATCTGGAATGTTGACGCCTAGGGCGAGTGTTTTTGAGATATTTAATTTATAATAAGAGCAGGCGCTGAATTGGGAGAGGATTTTGTGGAAGTTGGGCAGGGATATGTGCGGTTGTTCTAAGGTGAGGAGGATGTCATCCGCAAATAGAGATAGTTTGTATTCTCGGTTCTTAATTTTAATTCCATGTATATTGGGGTTGTCTCTGATCATTTGGGTGAGGGGTTCTAGTGTCAGGATGTAGAGGAGTGGGGAGAGGGGACAGCCCTGTCTGGAGCCATTAGAGATGTGGAAAGGTTTCGATATGAATCCCCCGTTCACCACTTTAGCCGTTGGTGAGGAGTAGAGTGCCGTGATAAGTGCTAGAAATTGAGGGGGAAACTCGAATTTTCGGAGTACTGCCATCAGAAAGGGCCAATGTAACCTGTCAAAGGCTTTTTCAGCGTCTAGTGATACTAGGACGCTAGGGGTTTTATTCCGTTGGATCTCGTAGAGTAGGTCTAGTGTTTTCCTCGTGCCATCAGCTCCCTGTCTACCACCCACAAATCCCACCTGATCTTCCTGTATCAGTGAGGGTATGATGTGTGCCAACCTGTTAGAGAAGATTTTTGCTATGATTTTCACGTCCGTGTTTAACAGGGAGATGGGACGGAGGTTTTGGCATCTATTGGGAGGTTTCCCTGGCTTAGGGAGGGTGGCGACATGGGCCATTAGCATCTCTCTCGGCAGTGTGCCTGTCAGTGTGGTGTGGTGGTATACCCTTTGTAGGTAGGGGGTTAGGAGAGGTGCGAATTGTTTATAGTAGGCATTAGTCATGCCATCAGGGCCTGGTGATTTCCCAGGGGGTAAGGAGTTAATTGTTTCTAGGATTTCCTGTGTGGTGACCTGAAGCTGAATGGCTTTCTTTTGCGTGGCAGTAAGAGTGGGCAGTTGGGTCTTCGCAAGAAATTCTTCAATTTCTATCGTGTTCGGTTGGTGTAGCGTGGGGTCTGTGCGCAAGTTATATAGGGAGTGGTAATAGTCAGCCATGTTGTCATTGATGTCTTGCGGGTTGTATATTTTGTCGCCCTTAGCGGTGATCAAGTGAGGGATTTTAGAGTTGGATTGTTGCTTTTTGAGCATTGTGGCTAGGTGCTTCCCAGCTCTGTTGCCCTGGGTGTATGTTCTCAATTTCAGTTTGTTAAGAATGTGGGTCGTTTTTTCTAGAGACAGTGCGTTGAGTTGTTTGGTGATTTCTTGTATTTCTTCAGCGTAGGCGGTGGAGGGGGTTAGGAGGTGAGCTGCGGTGGTATCTCTCAATTTTCGTAGGAGGTTTGTGTGGTGTTTTTCTCGCTTACGTTTCAGGTAGGATGCGCGGCTGATTAGTAAGCCTCTCAATACCGTTTTATGGGCTTGCCATATTGAGAATATGGAGACATCTGGGGTATCATTTGTCTTGAAGAAGTCTTTCAAGTTCGCTGTCAGCAGCGCTGTGAATTTTTGGTCATATAGCAGTGAGTCATTGAGGCGCCATGGTGGTTTGCCTCGATGTTGATAGGCGGAGTGTAAGGTCATTGTTATCGGGGCATGATCGGACCATACTATATTGCCGATGGAGCAGTTTTCTATGTGTGGGAGTAACGTGCCAGAGACGAGGATATGGTCTATCCTGGAGAAGGTTTTATGTACTTGTGAGAAGAAGGTATATTCCTTTCCGGAGGGGTGTTTTGTTCTCCATACATCATATAAGCTATTTTCGTGGATAAGCTTGGTAAAAGCCTTGGTGTGGGACTTGAGATTATGGTGCCTTGTCGACGTATTTGGGATGGTCGAATCCATGCGCGTGTCCATGACGTGGTTGTAATCTCCACATATGATCTTGGGGTCATTCACGCCTTCAGGGAGTTTGGCAAGAATTTTGTGTACGAAGTTACGTTGTTGTTCGTTTGGCCTATAGAGGCATACTATGACATAGGGGTGCTCATTTATTCTGCAGTGTAGAATTATGTACCTACCCTGATTGTCTTTTTGGACCCTGAGAGTTTCTACTGTTAGAGAGTTATGTAACAATATGGATACTCCTCTGGATTTGGAGGTATGGGTGGCATGGAGTTGCGTGGGGTAGTCTCTGAGGGCAAAGGTTGGGACTTTAGTGGAAACGAAGTGCGTTTCTTGTATGCAGACTATGTCTGCTTTGATTTGTTTTATGTCATTGAGGAGCATGCGTCGTTTGTGTGGCGTATTTAGGCCCTTGGTGTTATGCGAGTAGATTAGCATGTTCTGTAGAGTGTGTTATGAGGTGTGGAGAGTTGTCTGGAGTGTGTGCAGTCCGGGTTAGTGGTGGGTGATCCTCTGTGTTGGGAGGTATTGGTGGGGGTGGGTCGGTTGTGGGAGGGTGATGAGGTATTGTATAGGTAGGGGTGTTATGTACAGGACCTAGTGGTCTGGTACGCTATGTGTACCTGGGGGGTAGGAGTGAGAGCTTCCGGATACGTGGCTAAGCGGGCTCCTAGTTGATTTAATAGAGTAGAGCTGAAAACATATAAATGAGGCTGGCAAACAGTGCAGCAAAACAGTAACATTAAACGATAACATTGGTTGCAAAAGACAGACAAGGATCCTTGCTTGACCTGGCGTTATGAAGTTTAAATACTCTGAGGTGTTACGCGTTAAGGGATCAAGGGTTCCCTCGCGGATTGCTTGAGCGTGCCCATATGCGGGTTGTCTGCTCTGGGGCAGTCCCACATCCTCTCATATGGGGCGACTTTAATGTCGCATTATGTCGCTGTCCCAGACAGATATATTATTGGGCAAACTTAGCCCACAGTGCGTGCCTCTGTTGTGAACCGGGGGCCACGTAAGTGGTGTAAGAAGAAGATGCATGTATAGTAAATTTTTTTTTTTTTTTTTTCTTCCCTCGTGAGCTTCATGGGGCCTATTATAACATTGGATGTGTCCATAGTCCCTTAATAAGCATAACTTAACGCTTTAGCTTACTGTAGCAGTCATAATGCACTAGAAAGCTGGGCTTCCAGCGAGATGGTTCAGGGTAGTGAGTGGAGCGTGGCACATGGGCATGGGCATGTTGTGAGCTAACCCAGGGGGGGGGAGGTGGCTCATGAGTGTGGAGTTTGAGCCCGTTAGTGGAGACTGCCCCACGGGCTTGCGCCCACTCCACTTCAATCGTGTCATATAAGGCTAACTTGCCTGGAGATGGGAGTGGGGGGGTGTATGGGTGGGTAGTCCCCCGTCTTACTCAGGGTCCCCCGGGGGTGTACGCTACCCTATGGTTTGGGTCACTGCGGGTGCTGGGGTATAGGAGGCGGCTGGGTGTACAGGGCTCAGAGACAGCGCAGGCAGCTATCATCTACCTACTAGAGCGCAATAACGTAAGCACAGGTAAGCATTAAGTGATACTTGCGTCTGGTGCATTATGTCTTCGTAAATTGGTGGGTCAGTCCATGGCGGCATTTCGGCCTGGGCGGCGTTTATCGTGCCGCTGTTCTCCTGGTGGTTCTTTTAGTAGGCCCCATTTCTCGATCAGCTGTAATCCTTCTTCTGGGGATGATATGATGGACGTCTTCCTGCTTTGGTAAGGATTAATTTCGTGGGGAATCCCCACCGATATCGGATCCCATGGCTGCGGAGAACCGTGGTGGTCTGGGTGTAATCCCTTCTGCGCCGGAGTGTAGCTGGTGAAAGGTCCGCCATGATGCGCACCGATGGGAAGTCGTCATGGGGGTCCCCTCTGTTTTGGTGGGATCGTAGGACCAGTTCCTTGATGTGAAAGTAATGGGCCCTAACCAATACATCGCGTGGAATGGAATCCGGTAAGTTTTTGGGTTTTGACACCCTATGTATTCTATCCACCAGGAGCATGTCCGCGGGAATGTCAGGCGCGTAGGCTCTCATCAGACCTCTTGCATAGGCTTGCAGGTCATCTGGCAGGACTGTCTCTGGGACTCCACGGAGTCGTAGATTATTCCTTCGTGCGCGGTCCTCATGGTCCGCCATGCGTTCTTCCATGGCTGTCAGCTTATGCTGTATCGCTTGTAATTTCTCTGAGGTGGCGGTTTGCACCGTCTCTATCTCCTGGTGGCGCCGTTCTATAATGGTTGTTCTTGCCGAGAGATCCCTCACCTCCCTTTTGATTTGGTCGGCGGTCGTCTTCCAGGTGGCGATCAGTTTTTCTGCCATAGTCTCCATTGCCAGTTCAAAGTGGCTGCGTGTCAGGCAGTCCACGGGCAGAGAATCCTCCGATGGCGCTGGGGAGGGACTGGGGGCGGCCTCGTCTGCGCCCTCTTGTCCGGCTGCACGTGGCGGGTCCTCCGCTGAGGAGGATTTGTGGCCGAAAAAATTCATTTTTTCGGCTTTAGAGGTAGCCTTTTTGGTCTTGGAGGTAGCCATGTGGAGTTTGGTGTTTGGCAGATTTTCAGCTCGGGGTAAAAGTTATTTTATACGGAGCCCTCGTGCCAGAGCAAAATCTCAGACGTCCATCTTGCTCGGCGGTTAGC